GGCGCGTCCTGATTGGCTAATTACAGGATCCGGGTACTCTGCCTCGTACCCAGATTATGCCTGTGACCATCATCCGAACTATCTCATATCTGACAGCATCATTCAAGACGTCTTCAGCGTTAGCTCACTTCACCCGTCTGGGAAATCTCAATGCGTAGAGATGGACTACCGGCCGTTGCTAGATGCACTCGTAGCGCATAGAAACCCTGATTTGAATCAGTATGCGTGCTCCGAGGCGCTGGACTGCATGCAAGCGTACTACAAAGTATGTCGTTAACCACAAAATTTCAGTGAATTCCCTTCTGAAAACCGTATGTTAACATATATGTTGTTCCCTTAGGTCGCCCTTAAACGCTTCGTGGACGACATTGCTGTTGAAGCTGTAGAAAAAGATATCATCGCTAAACTCAGCGACATCGTTTCGCCGATCAGAGTTACCTCTCTTGCCTCTGATGTGGTGACAGATATTGCAGGCGAGTCCGAGGGGAGCCGAGCTGAGCGCAGCCAGTTGGAAACGCAACTGGGCGTACTAGTCCAGGGGTTAGAGACATGTAAAAGATTCATGGTAGAAATGCTACAAGGTAAGAATCAAACCATGTTGTCAGCAGATGTTATATGTAAAGCAAGTATAAACTAAAGTTTGGCCTTGTATAGATACACCGAATACACCGCCCCTCCGACATAGGTCTAGAGATTCTTTGTCAGACCTGTCTTTGAACCTTCTTCGCACAGAACCTCACGGAAATGTCACCAACGATGGACCAGGAGAAGCTGGCATGTCTCATGACAAAGCTCATGCTGAGCGGATCTTGCCAACAGAACACGAAGCAGTATCAGAACGGGAATCTGACTCTCTTGAGGATGAGAATTTCGCTGGGCCTATGAGTGAGTCGACGTCTGACTCATTGGCGTCTTCGTCAGCGAAAGTTTCATATGGGAAGAAGAATAAGAAGAAAGGAAAGAAATAGACATATGACTCTAAATGATATTTTCTCTATACAGAAGATGAGCCTGAGAATGGGTATTGGTTGTGCAGCTGATGTTCCGATACCGTAACCGATCCAATCTGCCAAGGCGTCTGCTCATAGTAACGTTGTCATTTTGGATCTCCTATGTGGCGAGTCACACTTTTTCTCTTGAATCATGGATCTTTCTGGCAATGGGGAGTTTGCTGTTTATCTGTAACAAAGGGGCATGGTCTCTTTCGTATCTTACCTGACTATTCGTTCTACAATTCACACATTCATCTTGGCAAACCAGCCCTTTGGTTCAAAAAGATTTTCCATCCAGCTATAAATTCTTTGAGTGAGAGTTGCAAAACCCTAGGTGTAATCTCTCACACTTCCTACACACGGCTCAAAGGGCTACTGTTGTCTGACTCGAAAGACACCATGTACTATAGTCAGCACGACCCTAGTGGTGTCGTCGATAACGGCAGGATGTTTCGTGTTCTAACTCTTTTAGCTGGTAGGCGAGGTTCCATGAGCCTTAGTGATGAGACAAGGAAAGTATGTTAACTACTTATTCTTAGCGCGCTTAATGAGTGTGCGATCCATTAAGTATGTTGTGTAATTAATATACAGCGAAGCATTCAGTTGTCCTTGCTATAAACTGGAATGCGAAACACAATTCAGATCTCATCTGCGTCCGAATGCTGTGTTATCATCCAATGGGTCGATGCATTGAAAGAGCTTTGTCCTTTCCCATATTTTGTAGGGTATCTCTCGGCTCACTGATACCACCAATCCAGCTTTTGATCATGTTTTTCGCATGGTCTCCTTGCCTGAGGATTCGAAGTCACTAGATTCGTGACTTTAGGTACTATCATGCATGCTGCGGGGCTATAGACCAGTCATAAGGTGTCACGAGGTGTGCCAATGCATAGTTGTTAGGGGAAATTGAGTCATTGTTGTTGCGCTAAGCCATGTTCGATTATTTGCAAACATGAGATGTCGCAATACACGCTTTACGTTAGCGTTGCGCGTTCTTGTTGCGACGATCATGTAGAGTCGTATGCGTTCGTCAAATAACCGCTCCGCAGTCACGTGACATACACGATGATCAGAATGACTTGGCACCACTTAACGCCATTCCTCACCGCAATACAGCATCCAAACATGAGTATGTCATAATTGAGCAGTGAAGGGAAGAGAATCGTAAGTATCAGCACTAAGTGCAAG